GAACCACCTCGAGCCGTGGCATAATGGCGCTGAGCTGGTGCGGGCAGTGGCGGCGGTCAGCGAGAACGTGGTCATCGTGGTGCACTCTGTTGGGCCCGTCACCCTCTCGCCTCTCCTCGAGCTGCCTTCGGTCAAGGGCGTGGTCTGGGCCGGGCTCCCATCCCAGGAGAGCGGTAATGCCCTCGTGGATGTTGTCTGGGGAGATGTGAGCCCGAGCGGGAAGTTGGTCTACACGATTGCCAAGAACGCGGGCGATTACAACACCAAGGTTGTCAACGGTGACGATAATTTCAGCGAGGGGCTTCTCGTCGACTATCGTCATTTTGACGATGCGGGAATTGAGCCCGAGTTTGAGTTCGGTTTTGGGTTGTGTAAGTCCAATCTGAGGGTGTTCATCCCTGACTCCTGACAGCCCCCTGGTTGCGGATCTTGTTGGACTAACATCTCGCCCTAACAAACAGCGTACACCAACTTTTCGTACTCCGATATCACTATTGATTCACAGCTCAGTAGCGGCCCCGCCACTGGCCCAGTTATCCCGGGAGGTCATGCGGATCTCTTTGAGGAGGTGGCCACGGTCACCGCCACCATCACCAACTCGGGCGGTGTTGCAGGCGCCGAAGTGGCACAACTCTACATCTCGTTCCCAGATTCCGCCGGCACACCTCCTCGTCAACTCAGAGGTTATGACAAGCTTCCGCTCGGGGTTGGTGCATCAGGAATTGCAACCTTTTCCCTCCTTCGCAGGGATCTGAGCGTCTGGGACACGGCCGCGCAAGTTTGGACTGTGCCAGCAGGAAAGTTCGTAGTCAGTGTGGGGGCAAGCAGCAGAGACATAAGACTCGAAGGTACCATTCAGGCGGTTTAGAAAGAGAGCGATAGGAGGGGTATGTCAAAATATGAATCTATTACCAACGACGCTGTCTTGTCTATTATAAATTAAAACAAAATTCTCATAACTCATTATTCGTGTATAATTATCCCATCTTCCTCGGTCTATTCTAGAACCTTGCTTTTGGTGCTTTCAGATTCAGAGCTTCCCGACTCAATAGACTCTGATTCGATGGCGCCGGATGCTTTTCTATGCTCTTGCAGCTGCGCCCGCCCCATGGTGTAAAGTCTGTAAGCGCCATAGAGTTGCGTGGCGATCCAGAGAGCGAAGACAACGGGGGTGATGACCCGGAAGACAGTTCCCCACCGATGCCAGGATCTGTTCAAGAGGTAGATGGTGACGACGACCTCGGTGGTGGCTGCTACAAGGATCCAAATGCAGCATCCGAGACCGATATGGGCGAGCAGTTTGTGATTCTGACGCTTCACACGCCAAATGATCATGGAGACGAAGACGGGCATTTCCACCACCACATCAAATGCTCCTATATATCATGGGTTAGTTGACTGAAGTTTATAAATCATCAGAAAGGTTGGACTCACCCCAGACCATGCACATGTAAAACTCCAGCGTCGCCTCCTTGTGGCTGTCCGAGTCGGCAAAGAGGGCAACCGACGTCTGCACCACCAACAGCAGCCCAACATGATGCGCGATGGTGAGCGGGCTGGCGAACTGCGTGCGGAAGCACATCTCGTAGAGGTAGTATGCCGTGTAGATCTCCGCAAACAGGAAGAGCAGATCTCCAATGGTCGCACCGCCACCCTTCCTCCCGACGTGGGTGCCGAAATCCCCAGGCCCGACGAGGAACATGAGCACGGGGTAGACTCCTGTGCAGAAGAGCGAGAAGAGCATCATGGCGCCGACATGGTAGTATGTGAAGGAGCGGCGGCGTCGCTCATTCCCGGGCTTCTCCAGATTTCGGTAGGTGTCTTTGTATACCATTCGCAGAACCCATCTTTCCAGGATGTTGGAGAGTAGGACAATGAAGATGACGCCGCATGTGATGATGATGGATCCGTAAGGGGTCAAGGACGAGAGGTGGCGGTTGGTGATTTTGGCAATCTTTGGTGTTGACCCTCCCCCTGTCACTGCTGTAGCCTCGTCTCTCAGGTAGAGGTAATCAGGTATGGCCGGCATGGTGGCTGGAGTGAAATGGAGTGCCGGATTAAGGAGGTTGATGGTGCTTGGGAAGCGGAACCCAGACCTGGCCCTTGACGGTACAACAGAAGGTGATGTAGCAGCGTTCACGATGTTGGAAAACAGATATTAGGTGCATTTTCGAAGGCGGGAAGAGGGCGTTTAAATGAACAATTACTCGGGACGGGGCCTGAATCGCAATATTGGTCCAGGCCGGGACTGTTGCTGTACAACATGATCACGCCGTCTATTGGCCATGGCGCGAACAGAAAAGCCGCTGCTCGGGCGAGAACATAGGCTGTCACACATACGCCCAGGAGTGGTCTAGAACTTGCAGGCACAAGGTAGCCATCTGCCATTCACGGAAATGTGGGAGTAGCGGCTGAGGCCGCCCACACACAACACCACGTTAGTAATCCCTCTGCTCTGGGTGCCGAGTGGCCGACCGAATGGCCTTTTACGCTTGGGGAGCTCCAAGCCAGAGCCAGTTACCGCGCCTGGAACGCTCAGACGCCAATGCTGTGGAACCCCTGATACCCTGATGGATGATGCTCCCGCGGGCTAATGCAAATAGCGGCTGGGTCCCGGCACGTCTGTTCCAGAAATTCAGACGGACTGGTCACTCTCCCCCTTTCCCTTCTGCTAGTCCTGGCCACCTCTCCGCGTTCTGGCCCTCGCTCAGTCACGGGGCGTCGATTGCGCAAACAAAGAGCCGGGCGGCGTCACCACATACACCACCTATGGCGTGAAATCTGGCCGCAGCGTAGAGAGAGACCAGGTCAGCCCTATTGCCGGGACCTCATCACTGCGCGTACCTATACGCAGACGATCAGCCAAGGGCTCCGCCACAGTATGTCAGTCAATTTCATTGCGTTGTACCGAAAATGAGACGCGGCCAATCACTGCACGTCCACGGACGGCGTACCCGTCTCCAGCTGACCAGATTCATCCTTCCCTCACCCGAGAAGATGCCGACCAAGCTCTGTCCCTGGGCGTTCTATTTCCAGACTAGATGCACGTTTGCTGTCTGTAAATCGTCTAGCCAACTCACGTGCTTCCCGGGCTAACATCCAGCCAGGGCTTGCTTGTCACTGTCTCAGCCGGCCCTACATGGTCAATATTGGAGATCGGTTCCCCCGCAATCGGGCCTGCAGCAAGCCTACGTAAGTGCTTCTGCTTCTCCAACAGCGCTACGGATCAAGTGGCGCCAACACGGCTGCAAGTGAAGGCAGGGCCCTTCTCCAAAAGAGGCCAGGGGTGAAAATCTCTTAGCCAAACAAAGCGGCCGTTGCAGAACCCCTATGAGGGCGTAGAAGCTTCACATGGCAGACTCAAGAAAAAAAGAAGAGAGCAAACCCAAAGACGCCAAGACACTTCGGACAAGGCCGGACGCGTCACCACAACACGTCAAAGTCTGATTGTGTGAGCCCGTCTTCATAGATATACTGCCAAGCCCCTACTCGGACCTCCCTCGATTGAATTATCCCGGTGGCCACTGGATTAGACGCCGCATATCGAGATGTGATCAAGACCCCTGAGAGCTTAAAAAATTGCAGGCTTCCAGAATAATCTATCGATCGAGCCAGCCCAGATCTCGTCTCACACGTAACGTGCCACATCCCGTCATGCGATCAAGACCTTATCGCACACCGCGAAAATCCTTGGCCCAGTCAAGTCCTTTTTGATTGCGTCAGCCTCAATTCGCGTCAATACAAAATTTGTAGTCAGCTGGAATGTTTAAAAGCTCGTGGCTTCACAGACTTGGCTCTAATCGCATTAGCTTGCATCACCAGAGATCGACCAAATATATCACCATCGCAGCTCAATGGGTTAATCTTGTGATACCTGCGTTGGCCCAAATTGGCAGACACGTGATTGGAGCCTTCATAGAAGTTGCTGAGCTTTGAGTCTAGCTGGCTTGGTAGGTTCTATGGAAGCTGGGATGTTGAGGCACGCAATCAATGTTAGGTTATAAGCTTTAATAAATGTAACGAGGATGGACCCTAACGGGAGCCAAATTGTACACAAAATCTTAGATTATATGCTCTGTGCTTTAGAAATAAAGTGTCTCTAAAGAACAGATGATTAAAGTGCTTGACCTCTCATCGTTTCTCTGTGCACCTACCTTAGACTGGAAGGGAGAAGTCTGTCGATTTTCTTCCCTCTGCTACCAGAAATTGTGAGAAAGGGAAGAAAAGAGGTCTTCGTACTTTCAAACCCAAAAGTAATGGATATCTGCACAGTAGAGGTTTGGGCAACAACGGATAGCCCCGAAGTCCGAGCATGACGGACCTCTGGCTTGGGTGATACCCTGTAATAGGTATTCCGCGTTTCTTCGGTAGCATTTCACTTGGTAGACCGAAGATTAAGGCATGGCCCAAGCCATTGCTTACCAATGCTTACCCCCAAATCAATGTATGCCCCGACGCATCTTGCTCCCTTTGCTACCCCATTGAGCAACTGGTGCAACCTGATGATATCCAGATGCAGCACTCTGCATGCCAATATCAATACAGGCATGAGGATTCCAAGTATTAACGTCATAGCTGAGGCTCGGCGAAGTACTTGGTGTGGTGTGAAAGTCACATAGAACCAATCACCTTCCACTGCTTTCAAGCCCGCTCAGTTTGCCACCTGATCGCGGACAATTCTCGTCCAATAACATGCACATCAGCCGCTGTGAGTTGACGTGTTCCTCTGCCAACGTCGCCAATAACCTGTTCTCTTGGGTTCCATTGCATTTGTGCAATACTATCTGCGGGAGAGACAGAATGGGTTACCCGCTTGTGTTTGATTTCTCCATGTCTATAAAACGAGGCATTTCTTCCTCGGAATGGGAAAAGTTTTTCATACTTCATCACTTTCTATTAGTGATATATACCTGGGTTGCCACTGCGCCGCGCATTCTGATAATAGTCTCTCTCTATTAAAGCAACCTATGTCAGGGAACCCGGAAAGGACATTGCCCATCATGTCTTCCGCAACAGATTCCGAGTATCACTTTCAAGTACGGTATTCCAACATCTCCTGTCTTCAAACCTGTCAACTAAACCGATGTAGATTTTTATTACACTCGTCGTTGTATTCCTCGTCTATCTCTTCTTTGTCGCCGCTAGATTTGGGGTCGAATCCGTCCTCAGACTCCACGATAAACTATCTCAAGTTTCTCTTGGCCAACAACAAGTCGACTACTCACGACCCATTGATGCGCGACAGAACATCCAGTATCCCTACGCGACCCAATCGAGCCCCCGTGCCTCGGCAAGTCGACTGAAGAAGCGATACGATAGCTCGTCCGAAGACGATCATGACTATCGTGAACGAAAATCGGAGAAGAAAGATAGAAGAATACGGGATCTTGAGGACAAGGTGCGGGGTTTTGAGGACAAGGAGCGGAAAGCTGAGGACAAAGCGCTCAAAAAGAGTATCAGTACTATGGGCGAAGATATTAAGTCGATAACTCAGAAAGTAAATGATATGAAGAGTACGATCGATTCAGCCAAAACTTCCCCAGAGAAGAAATCGGGGGTAGACGGGACAGCTTGACACCCGGCGAATGATCAACGTCAGGAAGGCGTCGATCAACAAGCAAGAGTAGGAGGAGCAGCAGGAGGAGGAGGAGATAGAGGAGGAGGAGCAGGAAGTGCTAGTAACTCGGGAGGAGGATCAGGAGGAGCAGGAAGTGCTAGTAACTCGGGAGGAGGATCAGGAGGAGCAGGAATTACTAGTAACTTGGGAGAAGGATCAGGAGCAGGAGCAGGAAGTACTAGTAACCCAGGAGGAGGATCAGGAGCAGGAGCAGGAAGTACTAGTAACCCAGGAGGAGGATCAGGAGGAGGAAGTGAAAAGAGGAAACAGGGTGCATAATAGGGTCAGCCACAGGGTCAGCAACATAACCAGCATCTTGACCAACAACAGCGGCAGGAGAGTGATTACGCTAGCGGCAGGATCGAGTTAGGGGAGGTGCCGACCGATTAAGGGCTAACCTAAGCTAAAGATTTGGTTTATTGACGTTGAGTGGATATCCATTTTTCTTCCAACTCGAGTTTTGGATGATTCTGTTTATGAGGAGCGGCAGTCTTTGAACGAAGCGGCATGGGATGATGATCGTACTTGTTGGCTCAAGCACCCAATTCTTTGTGTGAATCTGCCTCTATTTCGAATGGATGTAACTTGGAGCTCTTAGGAGGATCTTCGAAACTTGTAAGCCTTCTACAATGGGCCTATCTGGGTCTGGGTGGAGGACTTTCCGTAGGAGAGGGAGGAGGTAAATGGCCTTAGTCGAACGAAACCACTACCGTGTGGCTTGTGTGCTCAAGGACTGGGAAGTTTAGGACTCCAAAAGAAAGGACGACCGATAACTCCTGTTGCTATCGGCGGAGGACGTTGAACAGGAGTAACAACTGTGGTGAACCTTTTCCGTTGGTCACTAGCTCTAGGCTCTGTCAGATTTTTCTATTAGTATTCGTTTATGCATTTTTGTTAAAGCTCGGAATACGTACGTCTTTTTGCGATGAATAGTTTAGTCCACACCCTAGTATTGCGAAGATTGTATCTGACTTACTGGCGCATCTCTCACCACCTAGCATTAGGATGAGCTATTCAATTGTGCTTAAAGTGAGCGTTTGTACTGGGTCATCATAATGGAAATATGATAGGGCGAGCCTTAATCTGAAAGGTGGAAATATTCCCGACACGGAGATATGGTGCTCGCACGAGAAGGGCGGTATCAGGCGACAGCAGACTGTTGGACATTCTCTTGGCCCCCTGGTTTATTTCCCACCCCAACATCACCGCCAACTCAATTGACGGAAAATCAAATCATCCATAATTAAGGATTATCATCAAAAGTGTCTGAGACGTCTAATTTTATCCGTCGTCTTGAACCGGATCCGTCGTCGATGTCGGTAGTTCCGAAAACCTTCAACAGCCAGCTTCGCCCAATGCCAACCCCGAAATGAGATGTTGAACAAGCCTTGGACTTCTAATAGGCCTGTTACGCGAGGTAAAGGAATTTGGGCCCGTTTTTACCCTGGAAACGAACCAAATTTCGCTTCTCAATCATGCTGCGTGATCTTCATGCGCGAGTTGCTTATGTCCGTCTCCGCTGAATGAATACTTCGGCCGAGAACACAAGTGTCCGTTTCTCCTAACCCGGCAGCCCGAACATATAAAAGCATCAATTCCTTTTATTCCAGTAGGAAATTTGTCCTCTAACCCAAGAAAAACAGGTTGCTTAGCTACATTGCCCTCTTTCCGTCCCTTCACGCTCGTATCACGGGCTCCCTCGCCATGAAGCAACCGGAAGCCGTCAACCCGCCAGGAACGTCTTCGACACTAGCGTCGAGCCCGAATATCGAGGTCGAGAAGACAGAGGCGATAGCTGAGAGCAGTGCCCAGGACATAGACCAGCGCCATTCAATGGTCCAACACCTTGCTCGCCAATTCTCTGACCAGTCTGCACTTGGTAGTGAGCACCCAGCCTTCGTCAGTAATGACCCAGACTCCCCTTTGAATCCCCATGGCGACAAATTCAATGCGAAAGCCTGGGCGATGACGGTGGTGAATGCTGCCAGATCCTCCGACACACCGTTTCGGCAAACTGGTCTCTGCTTCCAAAACATGAGTGTCTTCGGGTTTGGCACTCCGATCGATTTCCAGAAGAATGTCGCCAATGTGTGGCTTGCGCTGCCCAATATGATCCGTCGCCTCTTCCTGCATTCGACAAATGACCGACGCATTGACATTCTACATGACATGGATGGTATCATCAACCCCGGCGAGATGTGCGTTGTCTTAGGGCCGCCTGGATCAGGGTGTTCGACATTTCTAAAATCCATTGCGGGCGAGACGAATGGAATTCACATTTCCGAGGACTCACACTTCAACTATCAGGGTATTTCATCTCAGGAGATGCATACCGCCCACAGGGGCGAGACTATCTATACTGCCGAGACAGATGTTCACTTTCCTAAACTCACAGTCGGGGAGACTTTGCAATTTGCATCTCGAGCTCGCTGTCCAAGATCACTGCCGCCCGGTATTTCGAAAGACAAGTATGTTCAGAGTCCCCCCCAACATTCTTCCATGTGCTTACCTTTCCATGACAGGTATTGTGAACACCTCCGCGATGTAGTGATGGCCATGTATGGCATCAGTCACACTCTCAACTCCAAAGTCGGCAATGACTTTGTCCGAGGCGTCTCGGGAGGTGAACGAAAACGAGTCACTATCGCCGAATCGACTTTGGCAAACGCCCCATTCCAGTGCTGGGATAAGTACGTTGATCCTTCCATCTCTTCTAAACACTCTATCATAATTCTGATTGATGCCTATAGCTCAACACGTGGCCTTGATTCTGCCAACGCGATCGAGTTTTGCAAGACCCTTCGACTGCAGTCTCAGCTTTTCGGACAAGCGTGTGCGGTATCGATCTATCAGGCACCACAAGCAGCATTCGACTTGTTTGATAAGGCTACGGTGATCTACGAAGGGCGACAGATATACTTTGGCCCTGCATCCAAGGCCAGGGGGTATTTCATCAACCTTGGATTCGAGCCTCATGCTCGACAGACGACACCCGATTTCTTGACATCAATGACTTCGCCTTCAGAGCGTGTACCCCGCCCTGGCTTCAAATCTCCTCAAACACCAGAGGATTTCGCAGCTGTTTGGAAGGCAAGTCAGGAATATCGAGAACTGAAGATGCAAATGGAAGAATACCAAATACGACACCCCATTGGCGGCTCAGACGCTCTGACTTTCCGGGAGCAGAAGAAATCAGTACAGGCCCACGGCCAACGACTCAATTCTCCCTTCATGCTGAGCTATTCTCAACAAGTCATGCTTTGTCTCTGGCGTGGATATAGACGCCTGCTGGCAGACCCCGGGATTCCTGTTGGCATGTCCATCGGCAATCTTGTGATAGGGCTTATCCTCTCATCGCTATTCTACAACCTCGGGCTGAACACAGACTCGTTCTACGGCCGCAGCTGTGTCCTGTTCATGACCATCATCTCCAATGCCTTCGCTTCAATGCTCGAGATCTTTACGCTGTATGATCAGCGACCCATTGTCGAAAAGCAAAATCGTTACGCATTCTATCACCCTTCAGCCGAATCATATTCTTCTGTATTGCTCGACCTACCTATCAAGGTTCTCAACAACATCGTCTTCAACAGCGTCTTCTATTTCATGACAAATCTCAACCGCCAACCCGGACCCTTTTTCTTTTATATGTTCGTCATGTTTCTCGTCACTTTGGCCATGTCTGGGGTCTTTAGATCAATGTAAGTGTCCTTGCACAGTCTCCAACTCCACGCCGTTTGCTAACGATTTTCCAAGAGCCGCGTTATCTCGAACCTTATATCAGGCCATGATACCTGCAGCCATCCTGATGCTCTCTCTCATCATTTTCACCGGCTTCGTCATGCCCATCGACTACATGCTGTCATGGTGCCGTTGGATCAGCTACCTGAACCCGGTCGCCTACGGCTTTGAATCCCTCATGGTCAATGAGTTCCACGGCCGTGACTTCCCCTGCACCACCTACGTCCCTGATTATGCCGACCGCGCAAGTGCGGCTTGCGGTGCCATCGGGGCTGTTCCCGGCCGCTCCTATGTCAACGGCGAGGACTACATCAACATTGCTTACAGCTACTATCATGCCCACAAGTGGCGCAACGTGGGGATCGTCATCGCCATGATTCTCTTCAACCACGTCGTCTACTTTGTTGCCAGCGAGTACATCACCGCTAAGAAATCCAAGGGCGAAGTGCTTGTATTCAGACGAGGCTTTGTGCCTGCTTCGCAAGTTAAAGATACAACTGACGTCGAGAAGTCGCTGCCCCGCCCGGTGCCAGTGTCGAAGCAGTTTGAGGGATCTTCCTCCAGTGTTGACAGGACCATCCAAGCGTCTGTGAGTGTTTTTCACTGGAGCAATGTATGCTACGATCTGAAGATCAAGAAGGAGAACCGGCGCATCCTTGATCACGTCGATGGCTGGGTCAAGCCGGGCACGCTCACAGCTCTGATGGGAGTCTCGGGCGCAGGTAAAACAACTCTGCTGGATTGCCTAGCTGCTCGGTTGGGCGCTGGGGTCATCACGGGGGAGATGCTGGTTGACGGCCATCTCCGCGACGATAGCTTTCAAAGAAAGACGGGGTATGTCCAGCAACAGGATCTTCATCTGGAGACAAGCACAGTCAGAGAGGTAAGAAAAAGAGACAGAAACTCTCCAATTTCTCTACTCAAAACGAGCTAACAATGTTACAACACAGGCATTGGAATTCTCAGCACTTCTCCGCCAACCGGAATCGAACACTCGGGAAGAAAAGCTTGCATACATCGATGAAGTGATCAAGTTGCTAGACATGGAAGAATACGCAGATGCAATTGTCGGCGTGTTGGGCGAGGGTCTCAACATCGAGCAGCGCAAACGCCTCACTATTGGTGTCGAGCTAGCTGCCAAACCGCCTCTACTTCTTTTCGTTGATGAACCTACATCAGGTCTTGACTCTCAAACCAGCTGGGCTATTCTCAATCTGCTGGAGAAGCTTTCGAAAGCTGGCCAGTCTATTCTTTGCACCATCCACCAACCCTCAGCCATGCTCTTCCAAAGATTTGATAGATTGCTCTTCTTGTCCAAGAATGGGAGAACCGTATATTTTGGTAAGTCCAATCATTGGTCTGTTCCAATGCATTACGCAATGAGCTAACGATGTGCACAAGGTGATATTGGAGAGAATTCCAGAACCCTGACCGAGTATTTCGAACGATATTCAGCGCCGACCTGCCCTCCTGGCGTCAACCCAGCTGAATGGATGTTCGAGGCCATTGGCGATGCCCCCGGGAGCGAGTCAAAGGTCGACTGGCATCAGACGTGGCGCTCAAGCCCCGAATTTGAAGCCGTCCAGAGCGAGTTGAAACGCCTCAAGGAATCGAGCCAGAATGAATCGGCCACTACAGAGATTCACGACAAACACGCATATGCAGAATTCGCAGCACCACTATGGGACCAGCTACTAGTCGTGACGACCCGCGCCTTTGAACAATATTGGCGCACGCCCTCTTACATCTACTCCAAACTGAGCCTGTGCATCTGCGTAAGTCTGTTCATTGGCTTGGTATTTCTCGATGGGCCACGATCTATCCAGGGCCTTCAAAACCAGATGTTCGCCATCTTCGAATTCTGCTCCATCTTTTCCCAGCTCGTCCAGCAGCAGATACCAAGTTTCGTGACACAGCGCACTCTCTACGAAGCCCGGGAGCGGCCATCCAAGACATACTCGTGGAAGATATTCATGCTCAGCCAGATCATCATCGAGATTCCCTGGAATATAATCGCGTCAGTGTTTCTGTGGGCTCTGATTTACTACCCTGTGGGATTCTACAAAAACGCCGAAGCCGCCGACCAAGGAACAGAGAGAGGCGTGTTGATGTGGCTGTTGTTCCTCCAGTTCATCATGTTGACGTCGACGTTTGCGACAATGTGCATGTCCTTCACTGACTCGGGGGAATCGGGCGGGAACCTCGCCAACTTGCTCTTTATGCTCTCCTTTTTCTTCTGCGGTGTTCTCGCCAAGGCCGACTCCATGCCCCATTTCTGGATATTCCTTTACCGCTGTACGCCATTGACGTACTGGGTCTCCTCCGTTCTTTCGACAGGTCTGGCCAATAACAAAGTCGAATGTGCTACCAATGAATGGGTCCCTGTCAGCCTTCCAACGAACGAGACTTGCGGTGGCTATATGGCGGAATACATCTCCAGCCGGGGCGGCTACGTGCTTGACGCCGATAGCACGGCCAGCTGTAGTTATTGTTCCATGAGCGACACCAATGTCTTTCTACAGACCATCGGTTCTGACTATAGCAATCGATGGAGAGACTTTGGGCTTGGCTGGGTCTACATTGTCTTCAATGTCTGTGCCGCCCTGGCTTTGTACTATCTAGTGCGAATGCCAAAGGGGAAGAAGACGCTTTAGGCAATGTGTGCCGATGTGGAAGGGGGGGCAGATGAAATTTTCAAAGTAATATATGATGTGGGGAGGGAACCATTTTTGTACAATAGATTATCTCTATAAATATCTTATAATCTCCTTTCTGTAGCGAACCCCAGGTTCTTAATACAATCTCTTATGTACTAACTTTGATTCCTTAAGGAGTTAAAGACAAGGATGTGGCAATGACAGAGTGATTGCGATCAGAGCTGGCACTCAGGGTACAAAATCAAGAGCATGGGAACCGTGATTGAGATCTTCAAAGTGCCATTCGAGACGAGACAGGCTATGCCACAAGCAAAGGCGGTGTTAACTCTACTTTTACTAGGATCGAAGCAAGGACTTATTCCTCCTGCAGTTAAACCTCACTGGTTGAGCAATGTTGGACAAGTGAGTTGAAGGATGCTGGTAAAAATGGCCAACGCTAAGTAACTAATTCGCTAAAATGCTATTTTATACGGCGAGCATATCAAAGTCTATATGTTTTTAATCCGGAAAATGAAAAATGGTCGTGTCTGTTGAAGTGAGAATCCTCATGCCCCATGTTACCACGGCTCTACGATCCCTTTCTTTCTCGGGTGGTTGTCAATGGATCCATCTGAATCAGCCTTGCTGACTTCCACCTGCACCGTCGTCTCGCGGTTGATACGATAGATCGGGGCTTTGCTCTCTCCGCTCTTCCGTTCACTTTCGTTATCACCCAGGTGAGCCCACTCGCTAGATGGCTTTCCAAGAGGATTGCTTCGAAGACCTGATGTTGGTAGTGTTCGAAGCGGTGTACCGCTGTTGCCGTGACCGTTGTAGCGAACGTCGGAGTTGCCGTTTGAGCGGTGCGTTGAGAAGACCGCTCTCAACATTCTCCCCAGCGGAGGCAGCGAGCATGCAATCATTCCCAGACCAACCTCAAGCTCAGAGGTTATCACGATGACTGCGGTGTAATCTAGAATACTTAATCAGCATAGCCATCTGGGAGCGTTGAGACAAAGAGGGCTTACAAAGCAGAGTATCTGGGTGTTTCTTCGTATCCCAATACCCGTAGTACAACATCCGGGCGAGTGCAGCTGCACTGGCTAAGATACCGAGGCTCAAGACACCAATCAAGGCAGTCTTAGTACGGGAAGGCATCTGGAGCTTGTAGATAATAAAGAAGGGCAGAATTGCGCTGACCCAGCTGTTTAATTGTGTTGTCAGCAGCATGCCCTATTCAAGCTGAGTTGCGACTTCACATGATTGATAGAGACACAAGTCTCAAATGGTCTGTCTGGCAGGACTGGCGAGTCGTTTCACTTACTCGCTAAGCATTTGGAAAGATGAACCAACCAAGCTGACAATCTTAAGACTTGCCAGACCCTTGTCTCCGAAGCTGCATACACCACTATTGCGACATGTCAGCAAATTCTTTTTGAAAGTCAATATACTCCAAAGGACTCACAGGTCGGCGTTCCAGTAAACAGCAAAAGGCCGACAGTTGGTGAGCACGAAGACTCCTGCCGCTCCAGCTGCCACGATCATAAGAGTGGCATTTCCAATAGCTATCCATCTATAGATATCGTGCTTGTCGCATAGTCGGAGGACGGCAATGGTGATGGAGACTTTGGTAGTTGCCGAAGCAGCAAAGTACAAGATCTCGTAGTACATGAAGTATTCGATAGCGCGGATTTGGAGGAGCGCCTGCGTGTCGGGGTCGAGATCTTGTTTTGTTGCTCCAAGCCCGTAGTAGGAAGCTATCACACCAAGGACGTTGGAGGGGACGAATGCGACCTAAACCCACAAACCAATCCGTTAGCCCGGTTCTTTTTTTGTGTGGTTACATTGGTTCTTCCCAGAGCCAGAGCTGAAAAAGCATCTGAAGAAAGGAGGAATTGGGCATCGTACATAGCCAGCTATTGCCAAGAGGTCATCCCACCCCCATACTTTCCGACTGAAGAAGCGCACATAGACTCGAAGAGCGAGAACAATGGTGACAAGGGCCGAGAAGAAGTAGATCAGGCCATTGGACGCGGGGCCGAGGCCTAACGGCTGAATGGACGCAGTGGCATAAGCTTGCGCTTGAATCTGCTTTCCTTCTTCCACCGTCCCCATTTTGATGCTTCCTCTCGCATGCAACGTACGGATCGGTTCTCGAAGTCGAAGGATATCTGCCGGAGAAAAAACTGGATGTGCCTTGCATCTTATGGGGCGAGGACGGTATTCATACGTAGCCACTCCCGAGGGCGGAGTGCCTCACCCGGCAAATTCCCAGTCTGGTGGCATAGCTTGGATCCTGATCCCTGGCCTTGGAAACGTGATTTTGACATACCCGTACCTAGTCCCCCGTTGTATATCCATAGTCCCCGTTGTATATCCACTCAACCACTTTTCACCCTGGCTCAAGCACGTTGTTTCCACACGGGTGGCACCGGTCTCTCAAGCTTTGTGGGGGCATCCCACCAGTCTTGTAGGGGTCAGATACCGCAGAAATTAAAAGGGGTTGCCTTAAGTTAGCCAAGTCAATAACAGACGAACAGCTAACTCGTCTAGTCGAACGAACTGTCCATCTTGCCTCGACTTGGACCCCTCGATAACGGGGTCCCGGGGTCGCTCTCCCCCCCGAAGTCGTTCCTTTTGTTCTTAAAACATCCTGTTCTTGCATTCAGCCTGCGGCAGAGCACAGATTGAACGGCCCTGCATCGTCAATCTTCTCAATTGCACACGGTGAGCACACAAGATGAGTAGCTGGTTCGGGCCCAAGGCCCCATCGCGCGTCCCAACCGACACTGTTGCGCCCCTCCGCTTCTGGGACGACGCGGTGCTCCTCAAGTCTCTCGTGGTGTACTCCCTAGCCAGATACGACTCGCTGCTCGATGCGGAGAAGCTGCGCTCGAGCTTGGAGCGTCTTGCGTCCATCAAGGGATGGAAAAAGCTGGGCGCTCGCCTCCGCAAGAACGTATGTTACATTGATCCCAGCATCGACAGGCCCCGTTTTCCTACAGATTGTGGATGCTGACAGCAGGTGATAGAGCAAGGGTGAAATCGAGTATCACGTTCCCGAGACCTTTACAGCAGAGCGACCTGCCATTGCCTTCTCACACGTAAAGCACGATGTGGCGATCGATGCGCACCCGTTAGCATCGCAGCTGCCGAGACCGAATCCCACCCGACCGATAATAGCAGGAGACCCAGAGATATTTACACCGTTGCTCAAGCCCGAGGGGGCGCCGACCAAGATAGATGACTACCTGGTGCAGGATCGTGGCCAGCTGGGTCTGCACGTTGTGTCGTTCCTCGATGCTACGCTCGTGATTCTATACTACAACCATACATCTTTCGATCTAATGGGCTGGGGAGCTTTGATGACCGCATGGACACATGTCTTACACGGCCGCGAGGACCAAGTAGCCACCCCCGTTGGTGGCGATCCGGGTTCAGATGACTTTGATTCTCTGAGCTCGTTGGGAACGAACCCAACCGAGCCGCACGTCCTGCAGAAGCACCTTATGCAAACTGCTGGCCTCGTGGGATACGGCGCCTCGAACATCATCGACTTGGCATTCCGAGGCAAGGAGAACCGCATCGTTTGCGTACCCGGTGCCTTTATCGAGAACCTAAGGACCAAGATCCTCGCCGAGCTCCAGGCTGAGGCTACAGCGGCCGGATCCTCAGAAAAGCCATTTGTGACAGAGGCAGATGTGCTCGGAGCATGGTGGACCAAGTTGGCAGTGACCTCCCTCATGAAGGCCGACTCCAACCGCACCGTCAACCTCCAGTACGCCGCCAGTGCTCGCAAGGCCCTGGGCATGTCGACCGACCCTGCCAAAGACCCTTATTTCAGCAACATCTTCACCATGCTCTACACCCTCCTACCCGCCAGCGAGATCATCCAGAAGCCGGTCAGCCATCTCGCGCGCGAGATTCGCCGGTCTGTCGTGGAGCAAGGCACGAGGGAGCAGGTCGAGGCGTACTTCGCCCTCCAGCGCCAGGCACCGGGCAAGATGGTCCCGTTCTTTGGCGATGCCGGCATGCACCTCATGACGCTCTCCAACTGGGGCAAGGCTGACTTGTACGGTCACGATTTCAGCCCCGCCGCTGTCTCCGAGGACGACGCGGAGAAGCCGCAGTATCCCAGCTACATCCAGACTACACAGCTTCCATTCAACTTCCCTGAAGGGTTCTGCGTCATTGGACAGGATCATGCCAAGAACATCTGGCTCTACGGGTTCAGGATCGCTGGATACTGGGATAAGGTTGAACAGGCCCTGCGTGAGACGGATGGGTTGTAATTAGCTAGTGACTGGGGATCGGGGTAGTTTGATTGTGGAGGTATGTCCTTGGCGAGTTCTTGCTTATTCTTTAGCTGTATCAGGGTGAACCAGAAAGTGCCCCCTTAATGAGGGTGCCGTGGGGGTTTGGGGGTTTGGGGGGCATCATGACAATTATTACAAGCCAGTTTGCAGATCATAATAAATATACCCATATATTAAGCCTTCATAACGGAATGATAATTTAGACCATGACAAAAATAGCGACATGAAATGGGTTGCTTTGATGAACAAGACATGTCGAGTTCATATTAAGACTTTGACATTCTCCGATCCATCACCTTTCTCTTGTTTTTTGTCACATGCCACTTCCAACTCACAGTGTAAGATTCAGCTTCGTCACTTTTATGCAGTGAATAACTCTCAAAAAAAGCAAGCAACCATAGCGCTGGACTACTGTGTTCGATATCCATCCAAGCCTTGTAGACAATGACTGGGGATCCCGGCCTAGTCCGTCTTACCAATGTTTAGTTTGCCCTACGGCCCCCTACTAGCGTTGACGACCAAGTCTGGATGACAATCACATCATACGATGCTTCCCAAAATGCGCTCACTTTGGGGTAGTTGATCTAAGGGAAGAATTCCCCGCAGACGGTCTCTGTAGCCAGAGCCACTCGGCCATTTCGAGCCAATGAAGGTTCGTCTTTTTTGTGAAATGAAACAGCTACTGGGCACCGCTGGGCGATA